TGTGTGTGTGTGTGTGTGTGTCTGTGTGTGTCTGTGTGTGTCTGTGTTTGTGTATGCAAACGTTTGGGGAAGGTTATGGGCTGGGTTTTGTCAAATTAACACAGAATAGAGACACCTGGGAACGGAGAACCTCATTTAAGGAATTTCCTCCATCAAACTGACCTTGGGCACCCTTGAGACATTTTCTTGATTTTTAAAAATGACGTAGAAAGGCCCATTGCACTGTGGGCCTCGGCTACATAAGAAAGGCAGCTGCACAAGCCAGTAGGCAGGAATCTTCCAGTCTCTGCTTTAGTTCCTGCTTCACTGCTCAAAGACGGACTGTGCCTTAGATGTTTAATGTGAAATAAAACTTTTCCTTTCCAAGTTACCTTTGGGTCATTGTTTTACCACAACAAAAAGTAACTAGAAAAGGTTATACACAACTTAATCACATATGTTAACTTCATATAACCACACTCACATCAAGAAAAACTATGCAAGGAAAATAAAGATTTTTAAATAGATTTAATTTTTAAATTTATTTTGTATTTTATGTGTATGGGTGTTTTGTCTGCGTGTATGTAAGTGCAGCACATGCATGAAATGTCCATAGAAGTCAGAAGAGGTCATTGAATCCCCCAGAGTGGAGTTTTGGACAGTTGTTTGCAGTCATGTGTGTGCTGGGCCCCCAACCCTGGTACTTGGGAAGAACAGCAAATGCTCCCAAAGCTTCCTGATAATCCACTTTACAGACATAACCTTTTCCTCATTGTTCCTCTTAAGATCCAAACCTATTCTTCACACGTAGAACTTTTTTTTACATGTTTGGATTTTATTATTATATTTATTGGATTATTCCCTTTATTTCTCTTTTTAAAATTCATTTTTTAATTTTTATTTTATGTGTATGAGTGCTTTGCCTGTGTGTATGTAGGTACACCCATGTTGTGCAAAGCCTGCAGAGGCCAGAAGAGGACATCGGATCCCCTGGAACTGAAGTTACAGACAGTTGTTAACTGGCATATGGGTTCTGGGAATCGAACCTGGGTCCTCTGGAAGATAAAACAGTGCTCTTAACCACAGGATCATCTCCCCCCACCTTTATTCACATTACTGTTTCTGTCAATGTTTGTTTTCTTTTATTAAAGTGTAAGTATGGTGTATGACAATTTTCCACCAAAGAAGCATTTGGGTCATTTCTGGGTTTTGATCAGTTTGTACTTGTGTATTGTAAGCACAAGTTGCAATTTCTGTAAATATAATTCTGATTTCTTGGGAATAAATAAATACCTGAGTTATTTGCTGATTTTGTAGATTACCAAAGTAGCTGGTTCATTGAAATAGAATGCTGAAAAGTTCAAACCTAAGGACACTGCCAAAAGCAGTAGTTACTGTGGTATACAATCAAACAAACACGGGAGCCACACAGGAAACTTAGAAGCAAATTAAATGAAGAGAATGTTAATCATCGCCTTTGGGAGAAAGAAGGAAGAAACAGGTTTCAAAAGCTGTCCTCAAGGATAATCTCAGCAAAGGCAATTGGAGGCTGTGTAAACACATACGCAAACAAACACGACGGAAGTAGTACAGCATTCAGCCTTCCGTCAGTAGATGAAATGATATTAGCAGGGGCCAGAAGCTTGACAGAAATACATACATATATACATGTATATATATAATATATTATAAAATATTATATAAGAAATATATATATTATATATATGTTTACTTCAACTCCCTTAAAAGTGAAACCGGAAGCAAGGTTTGACTGCCAGGCAGGTAGCTATGTATTCCTAATCTAGTCCATATTTAGTACATAGTAAAAAGTTGCATTTGACTAGGTATGTGACCGTCTTGGGGTTTTCTCTAAAATCTACGACCTTTCTAGCCATGTGTATTTGGCTATATTTACAGTACCACACATGAGTTCTCTCCCATTGAGTGAGCTTTAAGTTCAGTTAGGTAGCTGTTGATTATCCCTAAGATAAAAGAGTCACTATTATCCCAATATAGATTTCTGTGCTGGTTGATGTGGTAATTAGGCTTTAAAGCTAGGGTTGGACCATCGAAA